TCGGGGCCTGCACCTGACCTCTCTGCACCCCGCCCCTGCAGCCCGGCTGCGGAGGTCGCCGACCCCGCGGTCCCAACTCACGCCTGAGCGCGAGCCCCCTCTGCCAGGCGCACACACGCTCCAGCGCGCGCACACACCTCGGACATTCCCATAGTGCCTCACGTGACTCACGGCCCGAACGTGCCCACCCTGCCCACACGCTCACGCACGCGTGCACACACGCGCGCACATCCACTTTGCCTCCCGGTCACTTTCCAACTCGGGCTCGACCCCAGCTCTGCGCCCGCCGAGGCGCTCATTGACTGACACACCTACACTCATTCACAGGCACACACTCCCCCCACATGCCAGCCACAGACACACACATTCATCAACAGGGCCGGCAGGAGTACACACGCACCCCCTCGCTGCCTACACTTTCGGGAGCCCTGAGTCATGCCTGCCCCCTCCCAGGGCTCCCCATTTCCTTGTGTGCAGACCGGGAATTCTCTGCAGTCCTCCTCGCCCGAGCCCCCTGTCCCAGTTGCTCCCTCTGACACTCAGCCAAGGACTTCCTGTAGGTCCCAGGTCAGGGGCCAGGACAGCCTGGAGAATTGCCACCGCCGTGGAGGAGGGGAGGGCACTTCCTTTTCCTGAACCCTGGGATCCTGCGGGAGGAAGCAGGCTAGCAGGCTGGTTGGGCGGGGGCTCAGCAGAGGAGGCAGTGGTGAGGCTGGCCCTCCCAGAAGCTGGGGCCGCCAGGGAGGCGCTGGGTTGCCAGAGGCCTGCCTTGAGAAGCCTGGCAGCCAGGTACTGGGGAAGAGAGACCTAGGGTGCAGAGGGGCTAAGGAGTGAGGCCAGGCAGGCAGGTTGGTGGGCTGGGAAGGCAGGCGTCTCCCTCTGCAGGTCTGTCTGGGCTCCCTGAGAACCTTCCTGCCGCTAGCCTGGCTCCCCTCTACTTGTTGCCCCCACCCCCAAGTCTTCATCTGATTCCAGGCCCTCTCTTCAAAGGCAGCAGGAGTCTGGGAAGGGGCCCTGGGAGTCCCCACTGAGTTCCAGGCAGGAAGCTTTCAGGCTGCACTTCAGCTGGCCACAGGGCACGCAGGCCAGGCTGAGGGCCGTCAGGGACCAGCTCCAGTGCCCTCTCCATGGTTGCTCCTGCCCTCCCAGGAGGCCCAGGGTGGGCCCCGGCCCAGACCCTTGCCATGGAGTCCATGTTTGAGGACGACATCAGCATCCTGACCCAGGAGGCGCTGGGGCCCAGTGAGGTGTGGCTGGACGGCCCTGGAGACCCCTCCCTGGGGGGAGATATGTGCTCGGCCTCCCACTTTGCCCTCATCACGGCCTACGGAGACATCAAGGAGCGGCTTGGGGGCCTGGAGAGGGAGAACGCCACCCTCCGCCGCCGCCTCAAAGTCTATGAAATCAAGGTCAGAACTGGAGACCAGGGAGGCCTGGTTGCATGGGGAAGGCAGAGTGGGGTGGCAGGAGCTGGAGTCCAGCAGAGATTCCGTGGATCCTCAGGACAGGCCCGTGGGCAGGGGGCAGACTCGTGGCAACCTGAGAGTCATCTCTGAGAAATGTGACTGCTCTGGATGGGAACTCCCGAGAACTCTCAGCCAATCAGGAGGGATCTGAAAATGACCCGGTTGGTGGGACTCTACAGGCCCATAGGGTTAGAGATCCCCACTGGATAGGAAGGAGAGGTGAGGACACAGTGAGGCTGAGACGTGGGCGGGGAGCCGGGCACCAGCTCTCCTGAGGATCTGTCCTGCCCGCAGTACCCACTGATCAGTGACTTCGGAGAGGAGCACGGCTTTTCTCTGTATGAAATCAAGGATGGCTCCCTGCTGGAGGTGGAGAAGGTCAGTCTGCAGCAACGACTCAACCAGTTCCAGCATGAGGTGAGCCAGACTGAGCTCCTCCACCCCCGTTCTCTACCCCAGCCTCTGGCCTCTGCCCCTTTGATCAGAGATGACCACTGGCCTCCCTAAACCCAGCTGCAGCTCCTCTGCCCCTTCAGAGGGTGGTGGGAGTGGGGGTGGGAGGTGCAGGGAGCTCCTCAGCCCCCACGAAAAGGATGGGCCTGACTCTGTGGTGCACCCTCCGGGCCCCATCCAGTTACAGAAGAATAAAGAGCAGGAAGAACAGCTCGGGGAGATGATCCAGGCTTACGAGAAGCTCTGTGTGGAGAAGAGCGACTTGGAGACAGAGCTAGGAGAGATGGTGAGGCCCAGGGAACTGGGGTGCTGGAGGGTGTGGTATACCTGGTGGTGTGTGTCTGCATGCCTACCTGGTGATCATGTGCAACCCTGGGTGTGTGTGTGCGTGCTTTCGTGCACCCTCTGCCGTGTTCTTCTGTATCTGTGAGTGCACATTTGGCCTGTGAGATGGTGTGTGTCATCCAGGTTGTGAGTGACTGCACATCCTGACCCTGTGGGACACTGTCTCTATGTGTATTTGGCTGGGCTGACCCCGAGGCACTGCGGCACTGTGAGGCCCTGTGTGCCCGGGGTGCTGTGGGGATGAGGGCAGGGATGGGCACGAGTGTCTGGTTGCTGGGATGGGTCACGGTGTGTGACTTGCAGTTAGGATGTGACCATCCATGTGAGCAGGTAAGGGACACGTGGCCACTGCCATCTCTTAGCTGTGACCTCAGTCAAGCCATTTGAGCTCCAACCCTCTGAAAAGTGGAATGGGTAACACCACTGAGCTGTGGCGAGAGTGATGGGGGGGTCATGGAAAGGTGCCCTATCTTCATAATCATAAATGTTTACCTGGCGCTGACCGTGTGCCAGGCGCGGTTCTTGGGTCTTTACCTAACGAGTGTGTTTACTCATTTTCATTCACGAACCAGCTGAAGAGCTAGGTGTGGTATTATTACCACCGGAGTGCTTAAGTCACGTCCACAAATGGAAGCCATTATGCTCCTGAGGGGTGGTGGTATCTGGACAGGGTCTGGGTGTTCTGGGTGTCCTTTGTGTGTCTGTGAATGACAGAAGAGAAAAGAAGACCCCGACCTTGCCAGGTTCGTCTGCACTGCAGTTGCTAGGAGAGTAGACCTCACACTCCTGGCCTCTTGGAGAGTGGCCTTGTGATCTGGGGGCTCTGCTCTAGTGTGTGGGGTGATGACTATCCAGACATGGGAATGTCCAGGGATTGGGGGGCCCACTGGAGCTCGCTGGCCCTCACTGGTACAGACTCTCACCTGAATCTCCCCATCCGCCATCCAGCGGGCCCTGGTAGAGACTCACCTGCGGCAGATCTGTGGTTTGGAGCAGCAACTGCGGCAGCAGCAAGGTCTCCGGGATGCAGCCTTCCCCAGCCTGAGCCCCCCGCCTGCCCCTGCCCCGTCCTGTGCCGATCTGGACCTGCATTACCTTGCACTGAGAGGGGGACCTGGCATGAGTCATGGTGAGATCTCAGCAGCCCCTTCATTCTCCTCCAGCTCCCCAAGCCTAACCCTATTTGGTGCACTGGACACCTGCCGCTGACTTAGCACCCCGTTGTAATATCGTAACTTTCTTACATAATTACCCTGCTTCCCGCTTACCAACTGTTCCCTCGCCTCTTCTACTAGTACCCCAGTTTCCATGGCAATTCTTGTGTGCACCAGCAGAGGGCGCCCACAACCAGAGTCCCCTGCCCTCATTAGGTGTGGTTGGAGGAGGCTCCTGAGGATGCTCTGGACTTGACTCTGGCCAGGGAAGCCTTCAAGGGGCCATCTTAACTTTTCTGGCCTCCAAGAAGATTACAAAAAGCAACCCAGCCCATCCTTCCCCACTGCCCTTGTTGAGAGATCTCTCATCTCTGGGCTCCTGTCCTGGCTGCTCTCTCGGGTCCCTCATGCTGCAGTCCTCACCTGTTCACGTGGTGAGGTGCGGGTCTGGCAGGTGGCTGGACCTGCCTGATGCTGTCTTGTCCTGACAGCAGGCTGGCCAGGCCCCACGCCGAGTGTGAGTGAGCTGGAGCGGCGGCGCCTAGAAGAGGCTCTGGAGGTTGCCCAGGGGGCAGCAAGAGGGGCTCAGCTCCGGGAGGAGCAGCTTCAGGCAGAGTGTGAGCGCCTGCAGGGCGAGCTGAAGCAGCTACGGGAGACCCGTGCCCAGGTAACCAGCAGGGCCCCAGGACCCCCTGGATCAGGCCAGGGCAAGAGTGGGCTCTGACCTCTCAACCTTCCCCTGTAGGATATGGCCTCCAACCAGTCGGAGCGGGACATGGCGTGGGTGAAGAGAGTCGGGGACGATCAGTAAGTCATGTCTGTAATTCTCACTTTTTTTTTTTTTTGAGAGGTTTTCGTTATAGGGCGCGTGCGGTCGCCAGACAGACAGAGAGAGACAGAGACAGAAAGTGAGAAATCACCCCCCAGGAGGGATGGTCACGCCGCAATCCCTTCTCCTCCATTCTCCTCTTGGGATCTTGGGCAAGTATGCACACGCGCCCGGCGTGAGTTCTAAGCCACCAGGTCTGGAACGTGAACCGCGGTTGACTACGTGGGAATCCAGCGACATAGCCATTATGCTAACTGCTGGTTCCCTGTAATTCTCACTTTTGAGTGGCTTCTTTTGGGGGTGGCATAGCCTAGGCCCCTAAGGTCCCTTCCGGCCCTGCCGAACCATCTGGGTGACCTCCCCGCCCAGTCCGCGGGCCTGTGGTGTCTGGGCTGCCTGTTGGTCTGCACCCTTCAGAGGAAGGAGGGGGGCCTCCGCGGTACTCAGGCTCTGGCATGTCCTCTGCTCTTCTTTGGGCTCAAGCCCATCTCTTCTCGAGGGTCAGAGACTGGGAGAGATTCGTTCAGCCGCTTTGCTGCTGTACTCTGGTCCCCTGGTGAGTTTTCCATCTGGGGACCCCTTGTCTACACCAGTCACAAGACCCAGGTGATCGGGTACCCCTCTGTCCACAGTGAGGAAGGAGACCATCTCTTTCAGGATTTGGGTGCCCCTTCTGCTTATCTCAGGAGAGACAAGCCCGAGCCTTAGAGACCGGAGGGCCTTCCCTGCGTCACGCAGCACCTGCCTGGCAATGAGCACCTGCTCTGCTGGGCTGTCCCTGGAGTCCTAGCGGGAAGAGAGGCAGCAGGAAGTAGAAGGGAGCTGTGAGTGGGCAGCCTAACGGCAGGGCTCTGGGTAGCACTGGGCAGCAGGGGGGCTGAGGGCCTGCCCAACAGCAGCCGCAAGCTTGGGCCTTTCACATCCGCACCCAAACTCACCCTCTCCCACTTTCTGAGAAACAGAGCTCAAACCTCCTTCCGCCTAAGTCTTTCCCCTGAGATGAGGCGTGTGGCATAGACTCCCCACTTTTATTGGAGGGAAAGACTGAGGCCCAGAGAGGGGCAGAAACTAATCCTCCATCACACAGCATACCCAGTGCTAGGACCCCAGCAGGCTTCCTCCTCATCTTCCTCCCAGCCTCTGGCCAACTAGGGATAGCCCTCACTTCCCTTCCCACCCTGGTGTGGGGCCTGGGTGGAGTTGTGATAATGGGGGGTGAGAACACAGTTTGTGGGACTAGTGGGTGGGACCCCTCAGCCAGGAGGCCTTTAGCTGAGAAGGTTCATCCTAGTTTGTAGCTGGGGCTCAGGACCCGTCTTAGCCCATGTGTCCACACCTAGAACATAGGCACACTTGCAGGACCCATTTTAGCTATGTGTCCACACTTGGAACACACACACACACAGGACCCATCTTAGCCATGTGTCCACACTCGGAACACACATGCACACACATAGGACCCATCTTAGCCTTGTGCCCATACCTGGAATACACACATACACACACACACACACACACATACACAGGACCCACCTTGACCATGTGCCCCATCGGAACACATGTATGAGTGCACACACACACACAGGACCCATCTTAGCCATGTGCCCACACTAGAACACACACACATACAACAGGACCCACCTCGGCCATGTGCCCACACCCGGAACACACACACACATGGCCTATCTTAGCTGTGTGCTCACACCCAGAACACACACACACATGTTCTAGAATCTAGTTTGCCCCAGAAGTCATGCTGTAGGGTCTGTTTAACGGGTCACTGTGTCCACCTTTCTCTTAGAAGACTAGCAGTGAAGGCTCCCCCTATCTGGCTGAGTCCCGAGGGAGGATCTAGTGGCAGGGCTAGAGTCTGACCACTCAGGCCTCGAATCCTGGGGACCTTTCCTGGGATGCGAAGTGGCCTTGCTTGCTGACTTCGATCCCACCTCTCTGGACCCCAGGTTTCCCTCATGGTCCCAGGGTTTAGTCATTGCTGAGAGATGTGAGAGGAAAGTAAGACCAAAGCAACAGAGAGAAGGGACAGAAAAGGGGTGGTGGGTCCCCAGAGGCCAGGGCTATGTATTGGTGAGTGAAAGGGAGCCCATACCTTAATACGGTGCTTTGAGGTCGCCTCATCCGTGCTGCTCCTTCTAGCCAGAACCGTCCCTTCCCTTCCCTCCCCATCGAGGCACCAGCCCGACCCCCTGCCTACCCAACCACCTGCCGGGGTGTTTGGCCAGAAGGAGCCCGCTCTGGTCAGGGGCTGGCCTGAGGCAGTCTCAGCAGAGGTGGCCATCGGCCCCTCCCCTCCTTCCCTGTGGCCCGACTCTGCCCGGGTGCCCGATCTCTGCATCTAGGGCAGCCAGAGCCAGCCAGCCCTGCGTGCCCAGTAGCATGCTGCCTTTCGGGCCCAGCTCTCTGGATGGTCCCAGCTTGGCAAGAGTTAATTCTCAGAGGAAGTCCTCACTCCCCCGGTAGTTTTATTTTCTTATAAACTCAGCTCCTTTTTGTAACAAGCCGCTTCCCGAGTGCCCCCTCCCCTGTCCTCCCACCTGAAGAGGCCTCACGCTGCTGGGCTCCCTTTGCCCCAACCCCCTTCTTCTCTGCCTGTGCCTCCAGGCTGCTGGGACTCCTGCAGGAGGCTTCTCCAGGATGGAGTCCAGGTGGGGCGGGTGTAATCAGGATGAGGACGACTCAAGTGGGAGACACAGTTCCCGAGTCACCCTGCTTCTTTGTCCCAAAAGGGCCCACCCGTCTGTGTGTGGCCACTTTCAGGCCAGTTTGTTTTAACTGCGAGTCCTCGAGTCCTCGCTGTTAAGACGATCCTGCCTCTGTTCACTCCCCTCCCTTGGTCCTGTCCTGCCTCTGTTCACTCCCCTCCCTTGGTCCTGTCCTGCCTCTGTTCACTCCCCTCCCTCTGTCCTGTCTGTGCTGAGGCAGCCTCTGTCCTCTAAGTCCCTGGCCTGCGTGCTAGCCATGAAAGTTCCTTCGAGGACAGCCCCTCAGACCAGGGCAGCCTGCATCCACCAGGCTTGACCTGGGACAAGATTCTCCTGCCTCTGGTCTGCTCCTAGTGGCCAGGGCCCTGGTGGGGGGAGCATGTTGTCCTGAGGAAGAGCCACTGGGGGCTACTCTGGCCAAAGGCAATGGTGGAGGAGGAGGTGAGTGGACCGTCCCCTCCTGAGGATGCTTAGGGAGGCAAGGGCCCTAGGTGGGTCTCAGCCCAGGTGGGAGGTGCAGAATCCATAGCTCCCACCCTCTGGGCTCAGAGGCGAGGGATTCCCAAGTGGGCCTTTGAGAGTGACCAGTCCTGAGGGGAAGAGGAAGTTATGGGGGGCTCTGAGATGGGATTAAAGGCCCAGCGAGGGCAGGGCTTCATCTGTGAGGGGTCTGAGTGAGACCTGGTGAGAAGATGAGATGGTGAGGGGAAAACTGTAGGTCTTGCTTGTTTCCCAGCGTGGGGGGCTTAGCGTTGCAGCCTGTGCCCTTTTCCGCACCCCCCCCCCGCCCCACACACCCCTCTCTCCGCCACCAAGCCTCTGCGTGGGCTGCGGTTAGCGGTAGGGGAGAAGTGTGAACTCAGAGAGAGGATGGAAACTGCACAGAGGTCAAGGGCAGTGTGGGGTGGGTCAGGACGGAAGTCGGAGACCCCCGTGTACCCTGAGCTTAGCCTCATGCCCCAGAACCAGCGAGCCCAGGGCCTCCCCCTTCACGCTTCTCACCCTCCCTACTTCCTTTCTTTCACGGCCCCTTCAGCCAGGGCACCCATGCTCACAGGAGTCAAACCCTGCACATTTGCAGCTCTGGGGGCTCCCCGAGGACTGGGAGGGGCTGAGTTCAGTTTGAGGTCGGTGGGCTTTGAACTCTAGCCTTTGACCCTTTGCCTGCTGGCGGGTGAGGCGGAGAGCTCTCTTGCTCATACTCGCTCCTGGGGATGGGAAACTCCACATCCTCCTCTTTTTAAACTGAAGTCTCCCCAAAAAAAGCAAGCTTCAAACCAGTTTCCCTGTTCCCCACCTGTCTCCTTGGCACTCCCCTGGTGCTTGGTCCAGGCCAGGCTGTGCGAGAGGCAGTTTTCCGCAACTCCTTCAGCCCAGTAAGTGGGAGTCGTAAGGTTCAGTAACCCGAGAGGTTCAGTAGGAAGTTCCTGAAAATACCGAGCAGGTCCTGAGCAAGTGGGGCGGTGGGGCCTCTGGGGTGTTGTTCTGGTTCAAGTTCTTCAGGTAGGAGGCCTTATATGAGAGGCGACCATGTGATTTGTTGGCCAAACCAGATTGCTTTTGAAAGTGAAAGGGGTACTGTTAATAACGATGTTGGAGCCGCCAGTGTGGACAGGGGTGGTCCCAGGCTGCCTGGGAGCTGTGGGTGGCCACTGCTCACACCGAGACCCTCATGTGCAGCCTGCCTGTGAGCTGCTCTGTTAGGCTGAGTCTGGGGGTGCTTTCTGGACACAGTGGGCATCTGGCTGTTTGAGAAGCTTGGCAGAGTCTGCCACGAAGAGCCAGGCTCTGGGGACCGCAAGTCATAGCTGGTCGCAGAGAGTGGAGGGGCTCAAGGTGCCTGAAAGGAAGTGGTAGAGCACTGGGTTGTTGCAAAGCGACTTCCTGCCCCCCCTTGCCTGGCCTCCAACCTCAAGTCCGCTCCACGGCCCGGTGCTTATGGTCCCCTCCCCGAGGGTCGGGCGGGAAGACTGATGCTGGGTGTGCCTGTGGGTGGTGGAAAGTTTGGTCCCTAAATCCCCCCAGGGGCAAGGTCACTGGGGCAGCTGGGGGCAGCTATGGGCCAGGACGGAATGCTGGACATCTGTTTTCTTCCCAATCCTGCATCAGATGGTGATCCTGACCCTAGTCCCAACCTTACTACTGACCCCAACGCTGACTCCAGCCCTATCCTTACTCCCAACCTCAACTCACTTGCAAACTGTCAACTCCATCATCTGACCCCTACCCCAACTTGAAACCTGACTTCAAGGCCATTCCTAGTTCTAAGCTCATGACCCAGCACTAGCCGGGATTCTGGCCCTCACATCCACATAGGGCACGTGGAAGCCTATGCCCCGCACAGCTGCCTTTTGCAGAGAATGATGCTGAGGTCCCTGTCCTTGCTGAGCTCAGTCGCTTTATCAGTAACAGTGAAGGTGTATTATCGTCTCCAGAAGAATTTTTGAGATCTCTGAATTACGTGTTAAAGAATGAATGAAAGGATAAGTCAATGAAGAGTGGAATGGTTTGCAGCCCAGGGTGCCCTCCTTCCTGCCAGCTCTGCCATTTGCACTCTGGCTCCTCTGAAGGTGCCAGCTCAGCAGGCCGAGGTGCCAAGAGCGTGCGTTTCAGTCCTTGCTCTCTGCCCCACCACTCTGTGATCTTGAGCCAGCCTCTCAATTCCTCTGCTCTTCCACTTCCACGTATGTCTGGCACCTTCCCGTCCTCTCCCTGGGCAGGGATGGCGATTCTCAGAGCTCCTAGGCCACTTCCAAGGGCCCAGCCTCCTCCTCGTCTTTGTCACCCGTTGCCCTCCTGCCCTTCCTCCCCCAACCTTCCGGACTCTTTGGGAGGCAGGAGTGTGTTGGCCAGTCCCCTGGACTTCATCCCAGTAGCTCTGCTACAATTAGGCTTAATGGCTTTGGTCAAGTGACTGAACCTCAGTAAACCTCAGTTTCCTCATCTGTAAAATAGAGATAATAATAGTGACAACGTCATAGGGTTGTTGTGAAGATTAATAATAACATCTTTACCATAATGCTTCACTTCATAGCACTCTTACAGATGATCTACGACTCTTCTTTTCCCTGGGTCCCTCCCAAGTTCTGAAAAACTCACAACTTCTCTCTGTAATTTGAGCTGTAAAGAAGCTCCCAAATACAGCCATCTGTTGCCATTCACCTGACCCATCCTTCCCAACAGTCATGATGCAGACAGAGCCCCCAGGCGTGGGTCAGGAAGCCAGGAAATGGAATGCATATTTAGGAGCACGTGTGTAGCTCTTGATTGTGTTGTGAAGTTGAGATTTTTTTTTCCACTGAATTGGCAGTGTTGTCAGTGAGTCATTCGGGTTGTTGGTGTATTTAGCAGCCCCACCTGTGCATCTCAAGGTGGGGAGACAAGCCTGATACAGTGGGAGGTCCCAAAGGGCCATGAGCCATGAGGAGGGGGTCAGATCCCTTACCATGCCCAGGGTCTTCGAGGTCTTAGTAAGGGCTGCCTGGGCTCTGAGAGGACAGCAACGCCTGCCCAGGCGCCCAGTGTCAGAGCTGGGTGAGGGGCTGGGCTGTCTGGGGCTTCTTTCCAGTTGCTGCTGCCCTGTCCATTCACTGGGCGGTGGAAACTGGGGTAGCTCCTGACAGGGGGAGGAGGGCCCGCAGAGGAGAGACAGGGGCCTGGGAACTGAGTGTGGCAGGTGAGATCTCTGAGGTGGGGTGCGAAGGCGATGACCTGTATCTGTCACCTGAGATACAGCGGTGAAGGTGGACGGGCAGAGAGATTGGCTGTATGGCATGGAGGGGACGACACTCCATCAGTGTCCCGCCCAGAGCCCCTGGGCCACTGCAGCTGGGGATAGCACAGTCCTGCCCTCAGATTGCCTTGATTTGACGTGGACACCCCTGGACCGCCCGGTCTGCTGGAAAAGATGCCATTACTCCCACAGGCCCGTGAGATGAAGATGGGAGCGCAGAACACATTCAGCAGATGGAAAGGCCGAGATGTGGTGTGAGTGAGGCCGCAGGACCTCGGTGAAGGGTTCCTAAGACTCCTTCACCTCTGCTCCTGCCCGTCCCTGTCCACTCTCAGACAGGTGCTGAGGCCTGTCCTCCCTAGGAAGGGGGCTTGTGTCCCAGGGTTCGGCCTGTTTGCAATTATTTGGCTTTGGTCCAAATGGGTTAAAAATAGTTTTGTCGAGGGAGGGGCCATTTCTCACCCCAGCATTAGAAAGAAGGAGCCAGCCAGTGTGGGGGAACTCAGTCGTTATCTGCCCTCTCCACCTCAGCTTAGAGATAATAATAGTGACAACGTCATAGGGTTGTTGTGAAGATTAATAATAACATCTTTACCATAATGCTTCACTTCATAGCACTCTTACAGATGATCTACGACTCTTCTTTTCCCTGGGTCCCTCCCAAGTTCTGAAAAACTCACAACTTCTCTCTGTAATTTGAGCTGTAAAGAAGCTCCCAAATACAGCCATCTGTTGCCATTCACCTGACCCATCCTTCCCAACAGTCATGATGCAGACAGAGCCCCCAGGCGTGGGTCAGGAAGCCAGGAAATGGAATGCATATTTAGGAGCACGTGTGTAGCTCTTGATTGTGTTGTGAAGTTGAGATTTTTTTTTCCACTGAATTGGCAGTGTTGTCAGTGAGTCATTCGGGTTGTTGGTGTATTTAGCAGCCCCACCTGTGCATCTCAAGGTGGGGAGACAAGCCTGATACAGTGGGAGGTCCCAAAGGGCCATGAGCCATGAGGAGGGGGTCAGATCCCTTACCATGCCCAGGGTCTTCGAGGTCTTAGTAAGGGCTGCCTGGGCTCTGAGAGGACAGCAACGCCTGCCCAGGCGCCCAGTGTCAGAGCTGGGTGAGGGGCTGGGCTGTCTGGGGCTTCTTTCCAGTTGCTGCTGCCCTGTCCATTCACTGGGCGGTGGAAACTGGGGTAGCTCCTGACAGGGGGAGGAGGGCCCGCAGAGGAGAGACAGGGGCCTGGGAACTGAGTGTGGCAGGTGAGATCTCTGAGGTGGGGTGCGAAGGCGATGACCTGTATCTGTCACCTGAGATACAGCGGTGAAGGTGGACGGGCAGAGAGATTGGCTGTATGGCATGGAGGGGACGACACTCCATCAGTGTCCCGCCCAGAGCCCCTGGGCCACTGCAGCTGGGGATAGCACAGTCCTGCCCTCAGATTGCCTTGATTTGACGTGGACACCCCTGGACCGCCCGGTCTGCTGGAAAAGATGCCATTACTCCCACAGGCCCGTGAGATGAAGATGGGAGCGCAGAACACATTCAGCAGATGGAAAGGCCGAGATGTGGTGTGAGTGAGGCCGCAGGACCTCGGTGAAGGGTTCCTAAGACTCCTTCACCTCTGCTCCTGCCCGTCCCTGTCCACTCTCAGACAGGTGCTGAGGCCTGTCCTCCCTAGGAAGGGGGCTTGTGTCCCAGGGTTCGGCCTGTTTGCAATTATTTGGCTTTGGTCCAAATGGGTTAAAAATAGTTTTGTCGAGGGAGGGGCCATTTCTCACCCCAGCATTAGAAAGAAGGAGCCAGCCAGTGTGGGGGAACTCAGTCGTTATCTGCCCTCTCCACCTCAGCTTTTCCTGCCCTCTGAAGTCCTAACCTCGCGACTTCCCCTCTCTGCGGAGCCAGCCACACACACACTCACACTGATATGCTCACTCTCACACCTGTGCTCACACCAGACTGGCCTCACACCCGCCCTTCTACACGTATCTTCTCTCACGTCTATCACCGTGAGATGGGGACACGACCCTCGGGTAGAGAACTTTGGCCTCCTCTTGGCCTCTCTGTCCTGGGACAAGAGGACCTGCCCTGGGAGGAGATCCATCTGGAGTGACATTTGCTACTTCCTTCAGCTCCAACTTCCAGAGTTCTGGAATCCCTTCTTGACTGGGATAGGTATAGAGAACAAGGAACCCAGAACTCCTGGCTTCAGGGAGACCCCAGGCTTTGTTCAAGAGCTTAATGCAGACCCGAGGCCACAGCAGAGCCTCCTGTGAGGTCAGGAAGGGCTTCCTGGGGGTGTGCAGGTCACAGTGGGGGAAAGCAGAGGCCAGTGCTGGAGTGACAACCTTCCGTGGTTCTGGCTTCACTGTAACCCAGAAAGAAAGGAAGAGGAAAGGAAGTGGGTGAGGTCCCTTGCTAAATTCAGAAGGTGTTCCAGCTCCGTGAGGGTGGGTGCCCAGGAGGCCTGAGGAGGAAGTGGGGAGGAAGGCAAGGAAGAAAGGAAAGTGGACAGAGGTGCAGTTCATTATCCACTCACTGAACAGCCAGTCCCAGCCCTAGGGAGGCTCTGGGAATGTGAACACCCTGATGAGGAGCTCCCAGTAAAGAACATGGCAGCTTCTGGAAGTGCTTGGTGCAGGTGGCGCCCCCTGCAGGTGTGCAGTGCACAGCAGCTGCCCTCAGAGTTGGAGAGCAGGGAGGTCCCAGGAGGTATGTGACTGCAAAGAGCCCAGAGGCAGCTTTGAGGTTGAGGCAAGAGCAGTGGAGCTGTTTATTGGGTGACTTGGGGTCAAGTTTATCAGTGGGTACCTCTGCCAGCCAGGAGTCTCTGTCTTCCCTTAGCTATGGGCTGTGTGGCAGTGGTCCCTGGCCTTTTCAAGTGTAGGGCTCTTCACGGACCCTCTCCTCCAGCACACAGATCATGCTTATGCTTTTAGGATGCACTCTTTTGAGAAAATTCACAGTGACGAAAGCTACGATCAATTTCACATAGCTTTTGATGAATCTGTTTTATTCGTCATCACAGTTTCTGTGCACATGGGGAGAAATTCACACCTACCAGTATGAGTTGTGTTCAGGCCACAGACCATGCCTGGTCACACAGGGACTAAGGGACTTCTTGAAATCACTGCTCCCATCTACATCCCTATCCAGGGAACCACTGTCCTAGCTCTAGGGAATGTTGCTCTGGGAGCAAAGGGAGGCTGCCTGGAAGAGGTGGCTTTTGAGGTGGGAAGGATTTCTGCAGCTGGGGTAGGAGACCCTGGGGGAAGGGCCCCCTGGGTCAGAAGCAGGGGCAGAACCAGTTCTCCTTTCACAGAGGAAGACTTGGGTCCCTTCTCTAACCCAGTCGCTGCCTTCTGACCTCAGGGTGAATTTGGCGCTGGCCTACACTGAACTGACTGAGGAGTTGGGCCGGCTTCGGGAGTTGAGTTCCCTGCAGGGAAGGATCTTGAGGACCCTGTTGCAGGATCAGGCCCGGAGTGGCGGTGAGATGGGGCTGGGCGGGACGGGGCAGGGCAGGGCAGGGGCAGTCGGCAGTGCTGGGCCCCGGGGATAACTGTGGCGACCTCCCTGCCCAGGGCCCACCCTGGACTTACTTTCCTGTTGCCTGGAGGAGAGTCGGTGGGTACTGACCCTGGCAAGCCCCTGAGTCCCAGCTCTGACGTCCTCTCTGCACTCTGTCACCCACCTGCCTGTTTTCTCTTCCAGGCCAGAGGCACTC